GGGATGGGGAGTGAAGCGTTGTGTCATTGTCTCATCCCGGTGGCCTTGCAAGGAGGAATCCACCTCGAACCAGGTGATAACCTGATAGACTTTATCTTGTCTTCCCCCGGCCTCCCTGAAGCCTGCCAACACTTCCACTGGCTGTTAGGCATTTTAAATATCCCCCCTGAGCCCTAACCTCACCCCCTTTCTCTTCTTGTCAGCTGGAATGTCTCAGAGCTGTCAGAAGCTTGTTGCTTATTGATGTTTCCGTGTGTTTTATGTCTTTTCTGAGATATGACAGGCCCTGACACAGTGCTGATTTCAATCAGGCTGCTTCTGGAGAGGCCTAAGATTTTTAGTTGCACAATCCACGTCTTGAGCATACTTCAGAGGCCTCTGTCTAATGAAAATGTTTCAGGAGGCTGAAATAAAGGCCCTGTGCTCAACAAACAGCAGCTGAAGAATTCACAAGGTTTGAAAAAACACGTGTGTGTGTGTGCATGCACACACACACCCCCCCTCACAAACCTCCCCCCGGTTCTGCTTTTGTTATAAGAAAAGCAAGAACAGAAAGTGACCTCGTGAGCCAAAGGTTCTGACACTGAATCAAATCCCTTTAGACCTGAACTGACAGGCTGGGCCTGGCTTTAGATTACGTTATCACATCTTAGAACGAGCCTTGTATGTACCTCAGGATCCCCTACATGTGAAGAGCTGACGATTTTACCCTTGCAGCTTATTAAGTCCAATTCTGATGTCTTGTCGAGAATGAAAGCCTATCACACACACAGGGCTGGAAGAAAGGGCAAAACACCAACCGGCGATGGAAATAAAATGTAGAGCTGGTGGTGAACTCATTCCTGTTATTTACAAGGCTGGCCACGAGGAGATTAAAAATATTAGAGAATTAATTTTGGTAAATCGTGTGATTTCCTGAAACTTAAACATTTAAGCTTATGTCATGCTGACCATATTTAAGCTAGGCAAACAAGGGGCTTTGGAGACCCAAGGCATTTTATCTAGACATATCAGCACATTTTTTGGAGGCTCCCATCAAATTTACTTCGAGAACCTGAGCAGGATTGTACAATACCTGAGTTTTGTGGAGAGTCTGGCAAGTTGTACAAACCTGGTCTAGTTCAGTGAACTTTGTTGTTGGGTTCACCAATTTGATACAGGAATGTTGAAGTCTTTTATTGCTTGGAAGAAGGGTATCTTCTCATTACTGATCTTTCAAACTTCAAAAGTTGAGCAATTGGCACGAGCTCCTTATGAAGACCAGACTTGAAAAATTCACAGAAACTGGTGTTCTTCTTTCCTATAGGACAAGGCAAGGAGCTGCAAGTAATATTTGTGATTTTCTTGGAGACTTCCAGGAAGAAAAAGATATAATATGATAATATGCCAAGAGCATCTAGAATGAAAATATTGATTGAGGGGAAATAATCAAAGTATGACAGGCATTACCTCAAAATTCTTAAAAGTACAACAAAAAAAATGTGTCTTGATTTCTTATGTAGGTAAGTATAGTATAGGAGAAGGAATAAAAGTTGACTCAGGTCCTGAAAGCCCACCCATGGGTGATATGTGGACTTCCATCTAATGCATTAGTGCTAACATTGATAAAGTGAGATTTCACATTAGAATGTAGGTTTTTTGGCTTTGGAAAAATCAACCAGTCTGAAAGTGGTAATAATGAGCTGTCTCTGAGCCCTGGCAGTTCTGATTAGATGGGCCCTGTACTCTCCATGGGCCATAATTGACCATCTCTTTTTGTCTCCATTATGCCATAGGCTGGGGCCTCTGTAACACCTGCTTGACAAAACCTGATGTGGAGGCAGACAACCTTGTATTTGGATTTCAGCTCTGCCATTTGATAACTGTGTTGCTTCACACAGTGAACTTAACTATTCTAGGATTCCTTAGTCCAGAAATGTAAAGAATAAATTGTACCTAAGATTTTATTTGGATGGTTAATTGGCATCGCTAATGCAAAGTACTTGGCTCATTAAAAAAAAAAAACCTCAATAAATATTAGTTCCATCTCTCATTTCCTTCATACAGTAGACACAAAGTGATCATCACCTGTTTTTTTTTTTTTTTGGTAAATCAGGTTCTTTACTGTATTATAAAAGTTAGAGTTTTAGTGTTTTTGGTTGGAGAAAAAAATCCTCTGCCTCTAAGCCACATGGAGTGAAAATTACCTCTAAAAAAAAGTGCTCCTCACCTTTATTCCATTTTTAAAATGTTATGATATTTTTAACAATATTAATATAATAACAGTAGCATGTGTTTATTGGGTTAGCCTGTATTTTATGACTTGGTATCGAATTTATGGCTTGTTTCTACCAGTACTGTCACTATTAATTTTTGTTCCCATTTTTTTCATCAGCTGGAACATTGTCATAGAACTATTGCCTGCCCGTGATAAGCAGCCCCCGCTATTATTATTTCAGGTCTGCTTATCAACAGTCAACACATCTCCCCAAATTATGTATTTTTGGAGGAAAAAAACAACAACTATGTTATCAATTTAACCCCTTTGTCACCAAAGAGCCCCTTTTTTCCAGCCGCCCATAAGAATTCTGGCATGATGTGCTATGAAGTTAGAGAATTAGGAAAGCAGTCAGGAAGAGAACTGTCACTGAAAATACTTCAGGGGTAGAAAAATGCCTTCATAGTGTGACTTTAAGATAGAAATTTATATTGGTCCTGACTGGTGACCCAGCCCATGCAAACTGGGGCCCAGGAGTCTGGGTGGCTACTGACCCTTGGAAGGGCTGGTTGAGAAAGAATCGCCTGCTGGGAACTCCCAGAGATCAGGGGCCTGCCAGACTCTTGGAAATTGACTGCCAATTTGGCCTAGTCTCAGCTGACTGCATGCCCAGGAGGGAGGGTATGGCAGTAATAAAGCAGTTTAGTGGAGAAAGATATTGCTTCAAGCTCCCAAAGCTTCCAGTCTATTTTATGACAACATTATTCACTCACACTTCCACACAGACACACACACAGGCACGTGACATGTGGGCGCTCACTTGGTATTGGGATATATCTTTTACTTTGAGCAGAGAAAGATCATGCAAAAGCTGAAAATGCTATAGATTAAAGTGATGTTTCTAATTATTCCAGAAGTGATTAAATACTTTAGTAATTCCTTCTATAATTGAATAATAAGAAAATTCTGATGGTATAACATCCACAGGCTAGATGTGAACTTGAGGATTCTGAGGTTCTGTTGGCAGCCTCATGACTGATATCTTGAACAGTTCTCCATTTGTTCTCTTACCCTTTAACTGGAGGAGACTTTGACTTTTAAACAATGCTTTAAGAGTTAGAATTCTAAGAATCCTTTGCAACTTTTCAAAGAACTATGCTATTCAAGGAGTGCAAGTCCATATTTACATATTCAATATCTTACAATATAGAACTCATCCAATACAACCATTATAGCAGGATGGTATCTTAAAATGGATTACAACTGTCCCAATTTGCAACTTGCAGATATTTATTTATTTATTTATTTTTTAAAGGCAAAGTACCACAATTCTGAAAATTTAAAGGAGAGACAGCAGGTAACAGGGAACATTTTTTTTTCATTATATATTATATCATCCCATTTAGGGAGCAAGAATCAAAGCCACATTTCAACACTACAGTGAGAAAGGTGCTATGCTTTACAATGAATACGGAGAACTGAATTTTGTTCTCTGCATTAAGGTAAACAAATATGAGTGTCAATTGTGTTTCTGCATCCCACTCTAATCAGGAGATGTGAAAAAAAATATCATTGTTTCTGTTTTACAGAAGAAGATTGAAGTTAGAGAAGTTATACAGCATGCTCACAGCCAAGAAGCTAACACCTGAAGGGGCTGGTGTTTTCAGTCTCTCAGACGTTCTGCATCCAATTTTATTAAGCGTCAAAAACTCATTGCACAAACAAGCATTGTCAATGTTAAGGCCCTTCCTAGCAGGATTTTCTTACATAATCATCCTGAGAAAATTTGAATACCTTCTGTACATTTTTCCAGTAAGAGGACCATTTAAAAATAAAAATCATAATCCCAGTTTACAATATATAGAAAGCAATAACCCATTTTGTCATAAGGATATTCCTATAGCATGCTTTGGGCATATGGTCTCAGAGATACAGGTAGAGAAAGTAAAATGATTTGCAATTCATTTTGTGAGCATGATTATTTCTCTTTGCATTTTTTATAAATTGAGATTCAAATGTAAAGATTGGACCTAAAAAGTGTTAAGGGAGATAATCCAGTCTTTTCTCTCTTGCAAAAGTAGCACCATCTACAATTGACTAATTACAGGGAGAACTGGGCATTCCATGAAGATTAAGGGCAAGCGGCTAATTACACCCACAAGTGGCTAACAGCAACTACAATTAGCTGTTTATAGGAGCAATTATTGGTGTAGCCAATTTTGTACCCCAAAATAATTACAGGTGCAAAATCTCACATGCCGTTAGACATGCTCTCTTTCAAAATGCTGGCCCAGTGTGTGCAGATTCCTCCCAGAAAGAGAAATAACTAGAGAGGTTCAAAAGTTGAGATGTGAAAATGTTACCAACTTTTAAGCTGCCTGTTTCATTAATTTATTTTTAAGGCTTGAAAAATGGTAATTAACTTAATTCATACACTCTAGTAACTCTTGAAGCATTCAAGAAGTAACAGTAGGGACCAGGGTTGTGGCTTAGTGGTACAGTGCTTGTCTGGCATGCATTGAGGCACTGGGTTTGATCCCTGGCACCACATAAACATAAGCAAATAAAATAAAAGTGAAAAAAAAAAGAAATAACAGTAGAGATTCTGAACTACCTTCTGAAGATAATTCACTAATTGGTTGGTAGCAAAATGTATTTAAAAACCTGTATTAAGGTGAAATCAAACCATGGCAGCTACTAATATTGTCAGTGTTGAGTTCTGAGTTAAATCCTTGGTCTTGAAGATGGCACGTTCACATACGCAACTTGTAGACATTTTTGGAATTCCTACTGTATTCCAGGCATTCTATCTGGATGTGCAGACTTGAAAGAAAAGGCATCTGAGAAATTCTTAACTTGCTCAAGTTCTTGAAATGTATTCCCTGCTCTGGGCAGCCTGGAAATAGAGGTATGTTCAGAGTTTACTTTTTGGCTCAGAAATAAAACCAATGACATATTGTCTCAATATACTTCTCCAAAATAAGCAGATGTACACCTCCATCCCCAAACAGACAACAAACTCCAGGCAGACAACAAACAACCATCCCGGAATTCCAAAAGTTTCTATTTGGCTTCTAAATTGTGTAATAATATGAAATGAAAAAAAAAGTTATATTTCCATCTTTTCACTTATCAAGAGTTTCTCATTTTTTTTTTAAAAAAAAGCCAGTTCTGTTTATCATGTATTCCATCATGGATCATTTCCATCATTATTTTCTTGATGCCATAGGACAGGCATAAAACAATTTATTCTTAGTCAATCATGAGGCATTTAATTTAAAGCTATAATGTCATCTGATTTTGAAAAGCCAAACCTGGAAGGCAAGCATGAGACAACAAGATTGCAATCTATTCATAACAAGTACATTTCCAGAAAGGAATCAAATGCTCGAAAAAAGTCCTAATCTTCTATTTATATTACCCAGAGACACTATTGCTTGGTCAGGAGGCAGTGTTATTCGTAAGTAGAGATGTGAGTTTAAGGTGGGAAAACAGAGCACTTGGTCTGCGTAGACCATAGTGCTATGAGTTTACCTCTGTCACTGCAGAGATTTCTATTCCTGCTTGTAATTCTAGTTGATCTCTCTGAACTTCTGGCATGCAGTTTCCATCCAGTGACATCACAGACTTTTCCTTGAGAGTAGCCACCCTGAACTATCTTATACACTTTTAATTTTTATTACAGACCTGGGATTGAATATAGGCTCCCACTTATTAGTTTGGTGACCTCATGTAAGTTTCTCAACCTCCTGGAAACTCAATTTCTTCATCTATAAAACCATGTAAGGTAGGTTGGATGCAGTGGCACCTGCCTATAATCCCAGTGACTGGGAAGGCTGAGGCAGGAGGATCATAAACTCAAAGCCAACCTCTGCAACTTAGTGAGGCTCTCAGCAGCTTAGTGAGACTCTGCCTCAAAATAAAAAAAATAAAAAGTGCTGGGAATGTAGCTCAGTGATAAATGGTAAAGTGCTTCTGGGTTCAATCCTCAGTAATCAAAAAAAAGTCAAACCAAATCAAAACAACAAAATCACAAACCTATAAGATAGGAATGAATAATAATACCTTTATTTATGGGGTTGCTCTTGGGACCAAAGTAATGTTTGCTATTCAGTGGGGACCTCAGGCTATGCTGCTATTATCTGAAAGAGAGAAACTACATAATCTTCAACCTAAAAACAAACAAACAAGGAATCAAACAATTAACAACCCTGAAGTGCACAGGAACTCACTTTTCCTATTTATAAAACATTATTCATTATAGTTAACACTACTTGGATCACAAGGAAGGACTACAAATTAATTCATTCATTCCTTGAACAAATGTTTATTTAGTAGAAAAATAATATGTAATGCTTAGTAGTACTTGTTACATGCTAGGGATAACACTTGTTATATGGTAGGGACTTATTTAAATTCTACATATATTGATCTTTACGACCACCCTTGTGCTGTAGGTGCTGTGATCAGTCCCATTTTACAGATGTGGAAGCCAAATCAGAAAGGAGTTAATAACTTTGCCAAGGCCCCACAATTGAAAAGTAAAGAGCCAGGATCTGAACCCAGATCATCAAGTGCTCTCTTATCTCCTATGTCCAGATTGCTCAGGGGTGGGTGTAAACATACAAATCTTAGAAGAGCTGTCTCAGAAACTCTCTTATTTGTTGAAGGAAGTCACAGCAGTTTTCTCAGTGGAATAGGTGATGTGTGAAGCGTGACACTCCTTCTGGCATTGCACTGCCCTGTTGTAATATAGGCTTCTTGCTTGTCTTTACAGGTAGGTTGTAATTCCTTTGCTGTGTGGACACTGCTGCCCGGTCCTTTCTTAAGTGATAGAAATGTTCTAAGGTGAAAAGCATTGTATCTGGCTACAGAGGCCAGCTGCATCTGGGTTGCATTCTGTCCTCTAGTCCAGCAAAATCACCCAGTTGTTCTACAGACACATTTGAGATCCTCACGTGAATGAGGAGTTTATAAAACACAGCATATCTCCTTATTTGCTATAGAATTAAAGGGGCCAGATATTTTGCTCATTTAAAATATTGTTTGTTTCAAGGAGGAGCTCTGTACCTCTGTGGTAAACAATGTTTCAGGAATGATGAAAAAGCTCACTGGATTCTTTTTCTATAGAAAAAGCATGAATGCAAATTGTAGCATCTGCTTCATATGCATATTAGAACAGTCAGTATATTAATACAGAGACTGGTTGCCCAGATGCCGGGGAACCTGGCAGGAGCCCTTTCTGAACTGACACAACCACAGAGGAATTCAGAGTGGCAACCGCCTCATTTGGCACAGGTTCCTTACCCTGACATCATCTTGCAATTTGGAACAAGGTTGGATTATGTTTGTCTGGCTTCCCCACATTACATGAACCATGGAACACTTCCAAAAGAGACTATTTATATTTAAATATATATTAAAAATATATTTTTATTTATTTATTTATTTATCTATACTAGGAATTGAACCCAGTTTTAAAATCTTTTCTTTGAATGTAATGTTAAGTGACTTTCAGAATCAGATTTGGGATTCCCCTCAGAAAACACCAAACTGTAAGATCAGAAGGATTAAGACATCAAAACAGAATCTTGTTACTAGAAATCCAGCATTCTGCTGTCTTTAAAATAGACAAATTTTTCTGTGAAGCTGGAAGTGCTTAAAGTCTAGGTTGGGTAACAATCCCCCCCAATTATAAATATGACTGAAGGAGAGACCAAAAAATGGCACTAAACTTTGTTCAACTGTGGAGATCTTTAGGTAGTCACTCAGTTATTGCCTACTTGCAAACTGGTATGTTAAATTTCATCATAAAGTCCATGGAGAACCATTAGAACTCTGAAAATACTTGTGACAAAAATAATATGTCATATTCATGGGTAACAATATTAGTATGAATATATCCATTAAAAATAATTTTATAGTTGAGAAAAGAAACAGCCATCAGTTTGGACTGAATTACCATCAGTGAATGGACATGCTGAAGATTTCTTCTCTTTCTGGCAAATGTATTTTCTGAGAAATGTGACCTTGTGCTTGTTCCCCACCAAGGTGAACAGAACTCAGTTTACATTTATTCCTTATTCCCTGGTAGAGCCAATGTCCTAGCTCTCTTACGCCACTTCTCTTTCAGCTCTGTGAGCTCAGAGCTGAGAAATGATGAACCACTATTTGGAACCCTGAGACACTGTCTGGATGCTCTGCCTTACCCTGGGTAAGGACTAGTCCTCTTTAGTGGCAAGATATGATTTTCACCTCTAAGGGTGATGTTCTTTATTTAACCATGGACCCAGTTTCCAAAAAATCATGTGTGTCCATCCTAGCTTTTATTCTCTTTTCAAAGGCATTCATGACCAAAGAATGGGAAGACCTGTTTTAAGAACTTGCCAAGAATGGGTATTTTATGCACCTTCTAGAGTGAAAAAATATTACAGTACTGATCTGAATGTGGACTCTAGGATTCTGGTAATTTGGGAGACACACTGGATCATTTCTTAAATGAAAATGTTTCATACAACAATGTTCTACTCCTAGTGATGGTCCCAATGTCACTCTTTCATCCTAGCTTCTTGTTAATTAGTGATTGAATTTCTACTGATTCTTACTCTATGTTGGTATTTTTCTGTTGCCAGGTCAAGCTTCTGGTTCACCTTCCTTGCTGAGAGTGGCAGTGGGCATAGGTGAAGTCAGCAAGTGTCAGTGTTAGTCTAAACCAGATCCACCAGGGAAATTGTCCATGAAAATATATAGGGGAATATTTAAACTCCTAGCAAAATTCATTGTATAATTTTGAGGGCCTGTGTTTTCCTGCTTCTCCCCTACTCTGGTAGCAAGGAATTCCCATCTGGGATGAGACACTTTCCAAATCTTCCTGCAGAAAATCAGAAATACTCCCTGGGCAGAAGGGACCTGTT